GTTTTCTTTTTACGATCTGGTGTTAAAATAGTGTAATTGTCATTACTGCCAATGTGCGTCACCTTATATGGCCCAGTGTACTTGGCTTGAAAGGGCGATCCCAACACCGGGAGGAGCGCAACAACCTGGTCTCCCACGCTAAACTGTCGGCGTTCGGTGCGACGGTCAAACAGGCGCTTCATCTTTTTCTGGGAACTACCCAACTGCTTTTTAGCTAGTTCCCATGCCAACGAAAGCGTCGACGAAAACCCAAAACATAATCCGACAATTTTTCTGGCGGATCTAAATCGGTCCACTGATCGTGCAAAACAGCCAGTACCCCCCGAACTTTATGAGCAAAAACGAGTTCATTCGGGCTATAACCAAGACTTTGTTGAGTTACTTCCCGGGCTGACAGCATCAGCCACGGGAGGCCCTCCTCCCAATCTCTGTCCATCTCAACGCAATAAGCCCGGAGCAAGGATTTTAAGGTGGAATGGAAGCGCTCTAGCGCACCTTGACTTTGCGCATGATACGCAGTGGACAAATTGTGCTTAATCCCCAAATGACGAAGTACTTCGGCAAACAAGTTTGAAGTAAAATTACTTCCCTGATCGGACTGAATAACTTTAGGTAAGCCAAAAATAGAAATAAATTGAGTGAGAGCTTTAACAATAGCCTTAGTGTTAATAGAACGCAAAGGAAACGCGGCCGGATAACGAGTGACCTGGCACATCACTGTAAGCAGATATTCACTCCCCGCTTTTGAGCGAGGGAGTGGCCCAACACAGTCAATGATGAGATGCTCGAAAGGTTGGCATACGGCAGAAATGGGCTGCAGAGGCGCCGGTTTTAACGGCTGATTAGGCTTACCAGTCAACTGGCATGTATGACAGGTTTTAACATAACTGGCAACATCTTTTTTGATTCGTGGCAAGTAAAAATAACGAAGAATTCTGTCATACGTCTTTTTAATGCCAGCATGACCGGCAAGACCATCATGGGCAGTTTTTAAAACTACCGGCCGCCATTTAACGGGCACCACCACCTGGACAAAAGGATCCACCACACAAAAACCAGCATGTGGAGACCATTTTCTTAATAATACCCCATCTCTGATGAAATAACCCTGTGCCCGGTTCCGAATATCAACATCATCATAAACTTGCTCATACTGAGCTTTTAAAGTTACATCGCTCTGCTGTTCCTTCGAGAGCTCTTCCCTAGAAACGGCCAGTGGGTAATCAGTTAACGGAAAAAAATGTTCAGTACTTACAGGTTTTACTTCAGATTGCGCCCGGCTAGCAGATCGAGTCACTGCACAAGCAACAAACACATCAGGATTTTGCGGAGCACTCTCATCCAGACAGTCACAATAGGGAGGCGGGTTAGAAACTATCAAAGGTGGCGTTTCCCCAACCCAAACGCGTCCGCCCGCCAGATTATTGCCAAGAATAAGTGACACGCCTTCAACAGGCAGAACAGGTCGCACGCCAAGCTCTACATCGCCCTGCACTAAGTCACAATTCAGAGTCACTTTATGTAAGGGTACAGATAATGTATTTAATCCAATGCCACGAATTAACAACGACTTACCAGTGTCAGACTCCAGTGAAAACGGCAATATAGATTCCAAAATAAAGGAAGCCGATGATCCTGTATCTCGGAGAATTTTTACTGCTATCCTATTACCACTTTTAAGTGACACAAAACCATCCGAAATAAACGGATTAAAAATATCCTGGCGGTCTAACACGCTTGATGTATTCGCCGGTGTTTCAGCTGACAGAGCGGACAGCGGTACAGGACCCACAAGCGCAGCGGGCTTTACAAAACCGGCGGATTTAGTTAGCTGTGCTTTGGCACTTTTTGATTTAAGAACGGGACAATTTGATTTCCAATGCCCTTCTTCTAAACAGTAGTTACAAGTCAAATCGTGTCTATTTGATGGACTTTTAGGACGCCTTGCCTGGTTCAAATAAACGGATGGAGAACTTAAGCAGGGAGAAAGGCGATCACTTCTGAACCCGTCTGCACGAGTTTTATGAATGAGTTCCCACTCATCAGCCAGCACTGCTGCCTGGGACGCGGTCTTAACATTACGCTCGGCAATGTAAGTGACAACAATATCTGGAAGCGTATTTTTAAATTGCTCCAATAAAATCAAATTTATTCCACATGCTTTTGATTGGATTCACGCCCCAAAGAACGAAACTGCTGGCGATAACTTTCCGGCACACGCTCATAAATCTTTAAAACAGATGACTTCACATTTTCGTAAATTTGACTCTCCTCAACTGATAAAGCAGAATACGCTTGCTGGGCCTTTCCCGTCAAAACGCACTGAAGGAGTAAGGTGCGCTCAATGTCATTCCACTTATAAGCTACAGCAATCCTCTCAAATAACAGAAAAAAAGTTTCCACATCAGACTCATTAAATGGCGGAACCAAGCGCAAATTATTAACAATATCCAATTTAGGAGAGGAGGCTACAACACTTTCAGCAGGGAACTTACCCTCTTTTAGAAGATCAAGTGTTTCTGCTCGACCTGCACGCGCTGCTGCTCCAATCGACTCTCCTCAATCTTGTGTTCTATTTTAGCTTTCTCACAATCTAAACGCCGTTTTTCACATTCAGTGTCGCGCTGCAACATCAACAACTCCTTCTGCTGCTCGAATGAAAGTGCACCAAACCCAGGTTGTATCGGAGCCGGTGCTTCCACCAGCACATTCAGATCAAACAGCGACGCTTTTAAAATCTGCTTTATCCCCTCCTTCGTTCTCTTCTGAAGTGCGGAGAGCTCAATTTCGTAATGAGTTGCTAATTCTAATAATTGATCCTTCGTCATTAAGTCTAATAAGTCCTCCGACGGAGTTTGAACAAACGTTTCCACAACACTCGCCATAGGAAAAAAAAATCTAATTAACTCCAATCCAATAATAATAATAATAATATCACCGTTATTGCAACCAATCACACAGAAATAAAACCTCCCCGACTCTTCACTAATGTAGACCCTAATCTTCAACTGGCCCAAGACCGGGAATTTATGCACTATATACCGCAAGTTTGGGAGAACCACCAATGTACAAGTAATTCCCCAAACCTCGGCCGTGCTCCCGAGACAAATGCTACCAAGCCCCGAGCCAGCCAAAAACAACAAACTAAAATAAAAAAAATGACGTATCCGAAGACACGTTCTTCACCTACCCGGGGACAGTTTATTTCTGCACAATTTGGCTAGGTTTCTTTTGACGGATTAGACTATGATTAGAACTTAATCAAATATTACACTTGGGCAGGACGGAGACCACAAATTGCCTGCCAACCACTACTTTCCCCCTCCTAACAAAATAAGCTAATAATCAAAGCAAAACATAATAATAAAATAAAACACTTACCAAACGAAAATCTAACCAAAACAAACCGATCGACGCAAAAAATAGTCTTCACAAGGACGAGCCCCCAATTGTTACGCCCTCGGGGCGAAACAAGTAAAAAATAAGAGGGGGAAGCCAAAAATCACGTTACAAAAGTTTTATTTAAGCCCACTGTGATCAAACATTAGGCAAGAACGCCCCGCCAATCGCACGCCGCTGGTCTCCGTCCCAACCCTTAGCCGGAAGAATCAGACTCCCAAACAGTGGCAGGACGCTGATAAAGGAGCGCTCACTTAGACTCAGGTGTTCCCCATCCACCTGATTATGCCCCGCAATGTTACAGCGCATCTGTAGAGGGAGCAAAACAGACACACAGACAGACACGGAAGACAAATGACAGCGCAGCAGGCGTCACACTATTTTCACTAGCCACACTATTGTTGCTGGGAAAATATATTTTATATGCATAAATATGACTTTGACATGCTCAAATTACTTGATTTAGAGTTTTGGAATGTCCACATGCCTCCTCCTTTATTTGACTGTTTGTGTATGTGAGCATGAGCACATGGGTCATGGTTTCATAGTGTTGAATAACAATTAGTTTTTACATCACATTTCAGAGCTCAAAGGATTTACCAAACTTATCTCTAACCACACTAAAAATAAATAAATAATTATTTATTAGCCACAAATTTTAAATAATGTGTCAAAACAAGAAGAATATAGCTGTATACTACACTTTTTACTTAACAAAACATTTCTTAAAAAAAAAAAAAAAAAACAGTTGAC